AGTAAGAGGACCCACCCGACCAAGTATCTTCTTCCATCTGCCTGTTACAGAAATTACTGCCGTGTACACGTCCACTGATAGGAGATGCGGAAGGTATTAAACTGATAAAAATAGTACTATACACACCACTCCTATCTGGTGTCACATTAGCTTGACCGCGCAGTGCCCCAAATTTGCAGTAAGAGGACCGACCAAGCCTCTTCTTCCATCTCCCTGTTACAAAAATCAATGCCGTGTACACGTCCACTGATAGGAGACGCGGAAGGTATTAAAATGATAAAAATAGTACTAAACACACCACTCCTATCTGGTGTCACATTAGCTTGACCGCGCAGTGCCCCAAATTTGCAGTAAGAGGACCGACCAAGCCTCTTCTTCCATCTCCCTGTTACAAAAATCAATGCCGTGTACACGTCCACTGATAGGAGACGCGGAAGGTATTAAACTGATCAGAACAATACTAAACACACCACTCCTTTTTTTTGGTGAGGCTTTGCAGGACAGAGTGCTTCTCCACGGGACATGTTAACTCACGGGCAGCTGGCTCATCAAGGAACCACAGCAGCTTTCCATGTACAGGTAAGACACGTGCAGCCGGTAGGGAGTTCAGGCTCTTCTTCCTGGAGGGATATGCTTTTGCAAGCCTGTTGAGCAGTGACCTTGCTCGGGTCCCAGGTGTCACAGTTCCTAAGGATGGCTGCCATATACCGCGTCCACTGATAGGAGACGTGGAAGGTATTAAACTGATCCGAACAATACTAAACACACCACTCCTATCTGGTGGCACATTAGCTTGACCGCGCAGTGCCCCAAATTTGAATTAAGAGGACCGACCAAGCCTCTTCTTCCATCTCCCTATTACAGAAATCACTGCCATATCCATACAAATTGTACAGAATGTCAGGATAGTTTTCCAGGGACAAATGTTGTCGCCTGTTGAACGAGGTGACCTTGCTCGGGTCCCAGGTGTACGGTTCCTAAAATGGCTGCCATATACACGTCCACTGATAGGAGACGCGGAAGGTATTAAACTGATCAGAACAATACTAAACACACACAAATAAGGTTTCTCTCCTGTATGGCTCCTCAAATGATGCTTAAGATTAGAAGCGGCTGAAAAGCATTTCTCACACTCCGAACAAAAATATATTTTTTTAACATTCTCTCCACTTTGAACGAAATGACGTTTGGGAAGAGATTAACATAATTAAACACAGGCAGTAAAAATACAGTTTTAGCCATACCCTGTAACTTTAAAACTACACATCCCATCTTCATAATTACATATTTGGAATCAGCACACTTAAAACATAAACATAACCAAAAATCAGCCAAATCCATCCAGGAGTTAAAAAGTTAGCTGGAGGTCCCTTTATGACCGACCGCAAGCACATTTTCCTCCCCAAAACAGTTCCATAGATTTGGGCTGTGAGGTCGGTCTATTTCAGGCTGAAAAAAAGACTAAGTCCCATCGCCGAATGGGACTTAGTCTCTGCAGCTGAAATAATTTCCCATTTACTGAACCAAGTGGGAAATAGCAAGGCAGGCACAAAGGGTTTGCACCAGGTCTGGGGACACAGGGGACACCGTCTTAAAGGGGCCGTGTCCCCAACAAGTCTGGGGACACGGCCTTAAAGGGGCAGTGTCCCAATCTTCCTGATGTCCCAAAAAAGGTGTTTAAAGGGCCAGCACCAGTCACATAAAGAGTCCATAAGCCCCAATATGCCCACCGACAGTCTTAAAGGGCCATACACACCAAATAAAAGTGCATACATTTTCACAATCTCCCAGGGGCCATAGTCATGCGGGAGGAGGCTGGCAAGTAGGCTTCTCCACAACCCAGGGAAGCAGGGCAATTTGCCATTTAAAGGGCCCGTTACAAATAGCAGTTTGTAACAAGGTGTCAATCCATATCTGCCAAGTGACCCGATGTAGGGGGACCAGTCCCTATTCTGCTCTGTGTCAGTGTGTACCAGGGAACCTTAGGACAGGTGTCAATCCATATCTGCCAAGTGACCCGATGTAGGGGGAACAGTCCCTATTCTGCTCTGTGTCAGTGTGTATCATGGTCTCTGAGGACAGGTGTCAATCCATATTTGCCAAGTGACCCTATGTAGGGGACCAGTCTCTATTCTGCTCTGTGTCCGTGTGCATCAGGGGCTCTGAGGACAGGTGTCAATCCATATGTCAAGGTGTCAATATGTCATATGTCAGGTGTCAATCCATATTCATTGTGATTTAGGAATGTTAGGTGATTTCTGCCCTTTATGGATTAAAACCAGACTCTGTATCAACTGTGTAATTTTCCATGGGAGTTTTGCCATGGATCCCCCTCCGGCATGCCACAGTCCAGGTGTTAGTCCCCTTGAAACAACTTTTCCATCACTATTGTGGCCAGAAAGAGTCCCTGTGTGTTTTAAAATTCGCCTGCCCATTGAAGTCTATGGCGTTTCGGGCGGTTCGCCGGTTCGCGAACATTTGCGGAAGTTCGCGTTCGCCGTTCGCGAACCGAAAATTTCGGGTTTGCGACATCACTAATCCCCACTTGTTTATTTTAGACGGTTATTAGGCAGCCATTCTACTTTGGCATAATGCTTTCATTAATCTTTGGCCTTGTGTTTTTTCATAGGTATATTTTCAGGGGTCACCTTATCTCTTACAATACCTATGTTAAAAACTGACCATTGCTTTGAGTACATTGTTTAGTCGATGGTCCACTTTTTATTCTTATTCTACCTATTGGATAAGATATGCACCTTTGTTAGCCTGACCACTAGAGGGCATTATCTGTCCCTTTTCACTTGGATCTATCCAGTGTCTTGCTATTATTTTTGCTATTATTTAAGGACACTGTTTAGTGAATGATCCCCTATAGTTAGGCTTTTCATACTTTCCAATTGTTTTAACACACTTTTGGTATATGTATTTTTTATTTCTGGTGTGTAGGGCGGTGGTCCCGATTTGTGAGTGTTCTATTTATATTTTCTATTAAAAAAATAAATTTTATACTCTAGGTAGTTTTTATTGTTCCATTCTCTACGGTAATTTTCTACACTCTCACCCACTACTCCTGACATTGTTGCTCTAGTTGATAAATTATTTATTAGGGCTTACCCCTAATTCAGGAGTTACACATTTTTGCACTTACTGTTTTTACATACAGATACCCAAACACACACTAATACATATAGATATAGATACAGACACACAGCGACACTCATACAGCGGCACAGGGTCACACATACACATGCAGATATACATACAGACACATAAATAGATACACAGATAAATACACTGTGCGTACATATAGGCACAGATAGATACAGAGACACACATGCAAAATTAACACATTTTAAACCACCCTCCTGTTTCCTACCTTTTTTTGGTGTGGGAGTGTGGCTTTGCTGGGGTCCAGTCTGCAGTTCAGAGGCTCTTTCTTTCTGCCTTTTCCTCTCACATGGCACTTTCCCCAGTGATGGCTGCCAACGTCACAGGGGCCCGTCACACTGTTAAAGAGAAGTGGTGCACAACAGGGCCACTGAAAATAATTTGAACAATAAAAAATAAGTGAATGGCGCTTACACAATACAAAAACACAAAAGTGGTGGTGGAAAAAGTGTTCCCCAACACCTTAAATACAAAGTATACAATAGAAGATATATGGACACTAAATACACAAATGCCACAAAAATCCACACACCACTCTCTTAATCCCAAAAAAGTGAATGTATACAGTACTTGTAAATACAGGGATATATACTGGTAGTGTTCCGTGTACTTGGACCCTATAATCACATAAAACAGTACATAGTGTAAACTGTATATGGAAATGACAATAATGAAAATATAATGGATCCACTCACGAATTTTAGAGCCTATGTTGAATGCCAAAGGGTGCCTGTACAGGCTAGGTGCAGAGTCTTCACAATACCCCTCAAAGGCAGGAGAGACAGCAAGGATGGTATAAAAAATGGATACATTTATTGCAAATAAAAATTATAAAAACAACATACATTATATTGCTTTTGCACTTTTTTATACAACTTGTTTAGTTGTTTTTATAATTTTTATTTGCAATAAATGTATCCATTTTTTATACCATCCTTGCTGTCTCTCCTGCCTTTGAGGGGTATTGTGAAGACTCTGCACCTAGCCTGTACAGGCACCCTTGGGCATTCAACATAGAGCCTGGCACGGCTCTAAAATTCGTGAGTGGATCCATTATATTTTCATTATTGTCATTTCCATATACAGTTTACACTATGTACTGTTTTATGTGATTCCCAGTGGAACACTACCAGTATATATCCCTGTATTTACAAGTACTGTATACATTCACTTTTTTGGGATTAAGAGAGTGATGTGTGGATTTTTGTGGCATTTGTGTATTTAGTGTCCATATATCTTCTATTGTATACCACTGAAAATAATTTGCCATTGTATGGTCCAAAGTGCCTAGGACACCTGATGGGCCCCCAGTGTGTGCACCAATGGTTGTTCTGTTGCTGTACGTCATTGATTACATTTTAGAGTCTACAGCAGATCATGTAGAATGAAAATTGTACATGGTAATTTAGGATAAAAACACACATTTGTTTCTGATGTTTATTTTAAGAAAGGAAAATCCTGTTATGAAGGGATTTACAATATTTTTTTACAGTCTATAAAGGTATAGAATAAAGCAGTAGTTTTAATGTTTTTATGTATTTATTGCATTGATAATGCCAACAAGTGAACAAGTGTGTGTGTGTGTGTGTGTGTGTGTGTGTGTGTGTGTGTGTGTATATATATATATATATATATATATATATATATATATACACTGAACAATATTATAAATGCAACACGTATGTTTTCCCCCCCATTTTTCAGGAGCTGAACTCAAAAATCTAAGACTTTTACTATGTACACAAAAAGGCTTATTTCTCTCAAATATTGTTCACAGATCTGTCTAAATCTGTGTTAGTGAGCACTTCTCCTTTGCCGAGATAATCCATCCACTTTACAGGTGTGGCATATCAAGATGCTGATTAGACATCATGATTATTGCACAGGTGTGCCTTAGGCTGGCCGCAATAAAAGGCCACTCTAAAATGTGCAGTTTTATCACACAGCTCAATGCAACAGAAGTCGCATGTTTTGAGGGAGCGTGCAATTGGCATGCTGACTGCAGGAATATCCACCAGAGCTATTGCCCATGAATTAAATGTTAATTTCTCTACCATAAGCCATCTCCAAAGGTGTTTCAAAGAATTTGGCAGTGCATACAACTGACCTCACAACCGCAGACCACGGGTAACCACACCAGCCCAGGACCTCCACATCCAACATCTTCACCTCCAAGATCGTCTGAGATCAGCCACCCGGTCAGCTACTGCAACAATCCGTTTGCATAACCAAAGAATTTCTGCACAAACTGTCAGAAACCATCTCAGGGAAGCTCATCTGCTTGCTTGCCATCCTCATCGGGGTAACCAACTTGAGTGGACAAATGCTCACATTCGATGGTGTTTGGCGCTTTGGAGTGTTCTCTTCACTGATAAATCCCGGCTTTCACTGTACAGGGCAGATGGCAGCGTGTATGGCATTGTGTGGGTGAGTGGTTTGCTGATGTCGAGTGGATCGAGTAGCACATGGTGGTGGTGGGGATATGGTATGGGCAGGCATATGTTATGGACAACGAACACAGGTGCATTTTTTTAATGGCATTTTGAATGCACAGAGATAGTGTGACAAGATTCTGAGGTCACTGGCGGAACTACCACCCTCTGCGACCGTGGTGTCCGCCGAGATTGTGGTGCAGCCCCACCGCCGGGGCCACATTGAAGGGGCCCATTGGATGCTCTTGGGGCCACCCGATGGCAATGAATTACCTTTAAGACCACAACCAGGCCCCAGTGATGACATCAGGATGCCCTCTGGCACTCGGAGGAAGCCATCACTTTCTCCCAGCTAGGTGAGCTGCACAGGTGAAGATCACCGGGGAGGAGAGGAAGGAGTCAGAGTGGAAGCTCTGACTCCCATCATCTGAAGGCAACCACTGGACCCCAGGGAAGCCACCCTCCTGCACCTAAATGTAGGAAGCAGGAGGTTGACTAAAATTTTTAACAGTTTGTGTGTGTGAATGTCTGTGTGTGAATGTTTGCATCTATGTGTCTGTGTGTGTGTGAATGTTTGCATCTATGTGTCTGTGTGTGTTTGAATGTTTGTATCTGTGTGTCTGTGTGTGTGTGTGTGTGTTTGTGAATATCTGTCTGTATCTGTGTGTGTGTGATAGAAAGAATATGTGTGTGAATGTCTGTGTGAGTGTGTTTGCATGGGTGTCTGTATGTGTATGTGTATGTGTATCTGTATCTGTCTGAATGTGGGTCTGTATGTGTATCTGTTTGTATGTATGGGTATCTGTACATGTATCTGTTTGCATGTGTGTCAGTGTGTGCCCCTATGTATCTATACGTGTGTTACAGTGTATATCTGTATGCGTGTCATTCTGTCTATCTGAATGTTTTTCATTAGGTGTGTCTATGTATCTGCATTTGTGTCTCTATGTGTGTCTGTGTCTGCATGTGTGTCTGTATGTGTATCTGATTTTCTGCACGTGTTTCTGTATGTGTATATGTGTGCATGTGTGTCAGTGTGTGCCCCTATGTCTCTGTATGTGTGTCACTGTTTGCATCTGTATGTGTGTCATTCTGTGTATGTGTATCTGTTTGTATGTGTGTCTATGTATCCACATGTGTGTCACTGTTTGTATCTGTAGAAGTTTCATTATGTGTATCTGAATGTGTCATTCTATGTTGCTGTGTATTAGCATGTGTGTCTGTGTATGTATCTGTATGTGTTATATTATACAATTGGAGGGGCGGGGGGTGCAGGGCAAATTTTGCACTGGGGCCCTCTAGTTTCTAGTTACACCTTTCCCTGAGGCCCATTGTTGTGCCTTTCATCCACGACCATCACCTCATGTTGCAGCATGACAATGCACTGCCCCATGTCGCAAGGATCTGTACACAATTCCTGAAAGCTGAAAACTTCCCCATTTTTGCATGGCCAGCATAATCACAGGACATGTCACCCATTGAGCATGTTTGGGATGCTCTGGGTCGGCGTATATGACAGTGTGTTCCAAGTCCTGCCAATATCCAGCAACTTTGCACAGCAATTGAAGAGGAGTGGACCAACATTCCACAGGCCACAATCAACAACCTGATCAACTCTATGCGACGGAGATGTGTTGCACTGCGTAAGGCAAATAATGGTCCCCCCAGATACTGACTGGTTTTTGGACCCCACCAGAGCCCCGTGGAGCCCCCCAATACAGTACAACTGCACATTTTAGAGTGGCCTTTTATTGTGGCCAGCCTAAGACAGACCTTTGCAATAAGCATGCTGTCTAATCAGCATCTTGATATGCCACATCTGTGAGGTAGATGGATTATCTCGGCAAAGGAGAAGTGCTCACTAACACAGATTTAGACAGATTTGTGAACAATATTTGAGAGAAATAGGCGTTTTGTGTACATAGAAAAATTCTTAGATCTTGAGTTTGAGTTCAGCTCATGAAAAATGGGGGCAAAAACAAAAGTGTTGCGTTTATAATTTTGTTCAGTATATATATATATATATATATATATATATATATATATATTTATAGTAAGAAATGGCAGCACTCACGGTCTTCACTAAAAATCTTCTTTTATTGGCAAGGTTAAAACATGGATCGAACGTTTCAGTCCCTGTATGAGACATTCTTCAGTCCATTGAGATCATGATATTGTGCACGGCATGTTGCGTTGCCAAGACACTATTGCTATGGCGACGAGTGCCAACACTTTTTGGAGGTGGAGCTGGGTTGCACATGTGCACACGGCGTGTTGCCAACAGCTACACACCATACTAGAGGTAACCAAGGTTACCAAAGACACAAGCTGCACGTCACTTCCGGTGGTGGAGGTTGGGCATGCACACAGTGCTTGGCGAGACGCCGCCGGTTATGCAGTGCACCTGGGGTGAGTCTATTTTGATAATTATTTCTCCTATATATTGTAAGTTTAGTTCACATGTATTATATTAATCCTGAAGAAAGTCCCATACAGGGACTGAAACGTCAATCCATGTTTTAACCTTGTCAATAAAAGACGATTTTTGAAGACCGTGAGTGCTGCCATTTCTTACTATCTGGTAAATCAAAGTCCCAGGCTTAGCACCCGGCAAGTATGCATTATTACAGCCTGAGTGCAAGGATTTTTCCTAGTGTGTGTGTGTGTGTGTGTGTGTGTGTGTATATATATTTATTTCAAAAATTTGAGGTGTACTCTTGTTTAAAGTTATTCTTTTATTCTTGATACATAAAACTTATATATGTGTGGAATTGTGTGAACTAAATAAACATGGAATAGGCTTTTAGGTGTGATAGTGTCCATATGATGGATCCAGTATGCCTCTCTCTGGTGGAGCAGTCTAAACTTATCACCCCCATGGGACAAAGGATGGATATGGTCTATAGCTATAAAGTGTAAAGTGGGTAATCTAAGGGAAATCTATGGGAAGCTACCAAGTGTGGTGAGATAGTCAGAAGAATCTGGTAAACCTTTGGGGGTGGCAGGTTCAATGTCCAGCGGGGTTGACTCAGCCCTTCTTCCTTTTAGGGTAGATAAAATGAGCATCATTAAATTATGGTCAAAGTGACATCTAGAAGGATGCAGAAGGATGTACTTGGAAACCAGAAAATTTCTGAAAGTCTCTGTCTCTTTCTGAAACACTTTATTATTTTTCCCAGTTTCTTTTAATGTAGCTGCTGGGTTCAATAATGCTGTGTGCCTTTTAATATGCATTTGCCTCTTTATTCACTTTTTCTAGGCCTCTGTGATTTCATACCTTGTGATTTCTCTTGGGCATTTATGGCTATCTGCCACTTTTATTACATTAGTATATGCCTCTATGTTTGGTTTTAAGCATTAACTAGCTTTATCTTATTTCTATGTCTCTGCACTTGGTAATAGACTATTCACTGTTCTGTTCCTCTATATCAGCCTATTTCAGTAGTTCCAGAATCTGCTCACATGGACCATTTGATTTCCAGAGTCCGCAAGTCCTTATGCCTGAAAGTATCTTCTAAGGT